TCTATGTCATGCAGTGTGTGCTTACTGGGTCTACACTTTGGGCCAAACTTGGGTTTGCCAGGTATTGGCTCTCTCAGCTGCCAGCCCCCATGGTGTGGCTGCGCAATGGCTCTTTCCTTTGTCCTCAGCACACTGCTAGAAGAGATGGTGGCTTCTTTTCCACATAAGGATATTGTGCAGGACACCTTTCAGGTTTTTCAGGCAATGTCCTAAAAGCTTCATACCCAGACACACCTCGGGCCTCCTAAAAACAGGAGTCCCTTTAATTCCCTTCTCCTTCCACTATGCTCATGGAGGGACAATTGACAATTGACCACGGCAATGGCTCTGTGGCTGGGGATTTCTTCCTTATTTTATTATAGCCAACCTCCTTAGTCCCTGATGTGCTTTGATTGTCCAGTTTTAAACTCCAGTCAAGTTCTCCCCACCCTTATTTTGTTCATCCACCTTGTGGAGAAGCTGCCTGTCTGCTTTCTTGGTTTCATGTCTTGGATCAGCAAGGAAAGTGACCTGCTCTCTTCTACCATTTTGAAAACTCTGACAAGATTGTTCTGAAATTTAACATGAAAGTATCAATATTATGAATCTGATGTATTTCATCATCTCCATTTTGATTTTGAATATCCCCAGAATATTTGGGCTTGGAAAGTCACATATTAAATAAAGGAGGAGATTTGCTACCTCAAGGAATTCAAAGTTACTAGGTCAGCAGCTCATGAACACAACATGGTAGATGTATGTATCAGAGGAGCTGAGACTGCGGAGGAGCCAGAGTCTGGGTAGAACAGGACTTTGGCACTGGGTGTGGGGCCCTTCACCTCCTCTGTGGTTGCTGTGACAATATGAGGCTCCCAATCTGCACCCTTCTGAGTGATGTGATTTTGGAACCTACATTCCAAGTTGCCAAGTGGAGTAGAAGGACACTGGCAGGTCCACCTGTTAACTAACTTCCCATATTACCTCACTAGTGAAAAGAAAGTGACCACAACACTCGGAGTGACCAAGAGATCTTTATTTCAGCAGTGCAAAAGAGGAGAAAAAAAAAGAGAGAGAGAGAGGGTCCAGCAGGGGAAGGTTTTTATAGCCCTTCTGCTGTGCTGCCTAAATCTAACAGGTTCTCTGGGTCTGCAAGCTGCCTTGTTGGCATAAGGAGGGTTAAGTGTTCAGCCTTTAGCGGGGACTTGAGCATTTGGACTTGAAGCAAACAGGTGATAAAGAACCAGACAGAGGGAGTTTGAGTGGCCGGGTCACCCTGCAGCTAACTTTGTTTAGCATGCCCTGCAGACATTTTAGTTCAGCCTGTCCTGCACCTAACAATTAGGTTCTGCATAGAGCTGGCACTCTGAGAACACTGCTAACATAAATGCACTGAAGATGTTCTAATTCTGTTGAACTGAATCCTGAACATTTGGCTCTGAGCTGTTCCTCTCAAGTCATGATAATATCATGTACCATTCCCCTTCCTTGTGAAATCCCCAAAGTGGGATTGTATCATTTCACATTCCATCAAAACCACTGTATTTAACTTTGCAGGATCTCTGCTTTGGGCACTGTTCTACCTAAAGCCTGTCCCAGACATCCTCTATGTCAGCTGGGGGCACCCAGACAGGTTCTGATCTGGTCTCAACCCCAGATGTGTCAGGTCACCTGCTCCACGATTCTGGTGGTGGAGAGAAGGGGGCACAGTTGGAGCAGAGCTGGAGCAACGTTTGTTCTTGAACTCTCATCATTTGTACTTGTGTATGGATCAAAGACATTACATCGTTATTGCTGCCATTTCACACAAAATTATATTTTGCCTGTACCTGGCAAAATAACAATTACATTTCTTGTACTTCTCAGGAAAATATTCACGGATAACTATGCATTTATATTCCAGTTACTTATATCCCTAAAGGATATTTTTACACTATTTTAAAATATATCAATTTGAATACTCAAAAACTCCCATCTTTAGAAAAATCAACTGCTGACTCATTGTTTTAAGGTGAATAATCACCCCCAATTTGTAAATATGGCTTATAATGGAGTATACTTTGTTGGGATTTGAGCATGGGAATAACCATTTTCCCTAATTTTATCCATCAAAGAAGCCATTTTTTTCTTTCATAAGAAGAAGCAAATAAGAAAAAGAAATAGGGACTGTCTATCAGTACTTCTGAGATAGAAGTCTCGATTAAAATAAGATTATAAAGAAAACTATATGTTTCTACCTAACATTTTACCATATTAGAACTCTCTTTCTCCCTCTGTCTGAACACATGAACACCCACATACATACCTACCTTGAAATAAACTGTAGGATGGTGCTTCATCCCTAAACTCTCCAGGATGAATCACTAATTATTATAACATCACTCAACACCAAATCCACTTGCAAAGTTCCCCAGTTAGCTCTTATGCCTTTTCCCCCCCCAAACCAAAATCCAATGAAGGTTTACCCTCTGCTATTGATTGCTAGGTCTCTGGCCATCTGGAACAGAGCTTCTCAATCCTTGGTGCACATGTGGATCACCTGGGGATCTTGTTAAAAGGCAGATTCTGACTCTAGCCATCTGTGTGGGGCCTGAGAGTCTGAGTTTAACAAACTCCCCAGTTGTGGGATGCTGATGATGATCCAGGACCCCACTTTAAGTAGCAGAAATAGGATAGTCCCCCTTTCACTTCTGCCCCTCATGACAGAGACTCCTTGAAGAGTCCAGGTCTACTTCTTATAGAATGACCTATATTCTTTTTAGATCACATACAAACACATACACACACACACACACACACACACACACAAAGTTGTCAGTGGACCTTTATTTAATTAATTTATTTATATGTGGTGCTGAGAATTGAACCCAGTGCCTCACACATGCCAGGCAAGTGCTCTGCCACTGAGCCACAACTTAAGTCCAAATGACCTTTGCTCTAATTATTCCATCATGTCAATAACTTGTCTCTCTATCCTTCATCTTTGTGGTAAATTGGATGTCAGGTGTAGTGTTGGTGGGTTTCTGTTGAGATGTTTTTAGTAAGAATACTGTCTGAGTCATGATATGAGCTGTCTAATGCATTCACATAGGAGTCAGTTCTATTATATTTCCTACTAGGAAAAGTGTGCTAAGACTTTATCACTTGAGTAAGGTGATGGCTGGATCGTTTAAATAACACTTAAACATGACTGAAAACATAAATAATAAATAATTGCATATCAAAAAATAATGTAATTGAATATCAAATTAATACTGTTAACTACAAGAGAAAGAAACCTATCATTTCAAGTTCCAGTGTGATACTCACTGAGGAGTTTTCTGACAGGTAAGGCCAGCTCCATCTGGCCTTATAGTTGTTACCTGAGCCATGATTGAGCTCCTCCAAAGAAGAGAGAGTCTCCTGCCCATTCTTGTTACCTTTGTTCGCCTGGATCCCAAAGCAGGGCTGTCTTACAACAATGATGGTGTCAACCACCATCACCACAATAAGAGCACCTACTATCTATGAGCGTAATTGTTTACCAAGCAGTGTGACAAACCCTATAAGTTAAATGCAAATCCATGTTGAGATCCTAACCCAAAGTGATGGTATTAGGAAGTGGGCCTTTGGCAGGTGAACCCTCATGGGTGGAATTAGTATCATTACGAAAGTAATGAGAGAGCTCTCTAACCCTCTTTCGGCCAGGTGAGGACTCAATGAGAATTCAGCCTTCTACAACTCAGAAGAGGACCCTTCACCAGAACCAGACCATGCTGCCACCCTGATCTCAGACTTTCAGCCTCCAAAACTGTGAGGAGTAAATTTCTGCTCTTTATCAACCATTCAGTCTGTGGTTCTTGGATACAGTTGTGGGAACAGGCTGACATGGTAAGTACCACCAGCTGCATTTGACTCCTCAGGGAGGCTTTGGGCAGGGAGCAAGCTCAAGGTCACCACTGAAATAAGAATCTTTCCTTTTAGATGCCCCACAGAACAGGAACCTACACCCAGCCTGTGAGACTATCAGCCCAGCACCACCTTTGTCACACGGACATGACTGGTGGGGTAACACAGGTTGAGGGCATGTTTCCTACCTTAGGCTGGAGTCTACCTGTGTCACTGAATTCCGATGCCACAACAGACCTGAGGTTGGTTCCGCGTTCATCTTTATTCTACAGAATCAGGAAATGAGGCTGAGGGACATTAAATTCCCACAGCTACACAGCTGGAAAGAACCAGGGGGCGCCTTGACTCTGGGTCTGCCTGTGCTATGCTGTCCCCAGGCAGAGTGACTACCCATTCCCTCCCCCAAGGGAGGCTGGCCTTCCCAAACCTGCATCTGAGCACCTCCGCTCAGGACCTACAAAAAGCCAGAGCTGTTTCTGGGACTGTGCTCTAAAGATGGCAGACCTTTGTGATGTTCTGCTCCAGGGCCCCTAACTCACATGGCAGCCTTGACTTTCTGCTTCCTTTCTGCACTGTAATAACCACCCAGGAGCCAGATTCCCTCGCCACCCCACGCCCACCTTCTCCTCCTCTGAGGATGGGCCAGACCCTGTAAAGGAGGCAAGATTCTGTTTATCCCTCAGCCCCCCTCAGCAGGGAGGACTAAAACACTTCCAATGAATTCCCCGAGCTCAGGGTTTAGGCATAAGAAATAAAAGTGTATAAATGCAACTTCAATTATGCTTCAGTTTCCAATTTCATAATGCCAAAGTATGTTTATCCTTCTGATATTTGGAACTTAAGAGTGTCTTTTTCCTTTAAAACAAGATGACATATAGTGGTTAGGCTGCCACTGCAGCTCACATAGGTCTTCCAAAGCCACAATGTGCTCAAAAAACGCTCATTTCAATAAGGGGACAAATACTTATCACAATACCAATATATTTTTTAAAGGATGCAAATAAAATATAAGAAAGTTTGCATTTATTAAAATGTATTGATTTGGAGAAAGCATGTTTACAGAAAATCAAAGACTTGGATGAAAGACTTTGGATGTTCAAAAAACAAAACAAAACAACAACCACCACCACAAAAGACTTCTGGATATTCCAAAAGACTTTGAGTGTTAAAGGCACAGATTTCTGTAATGTCTAATTGGATTTGAAAGCAATGAAAGGGTTGTCACCAACTCTTGTTCTCATCAGTGACTCAGAGGGCTTTTCTTGCATTGTGTGACTCTCAAAGGGGAATGAAAAGTGGAAAAACAGATTTTTTTTTTCCCCAGGGAACTGAGTTTTTAGAAATAGAACAGGAAAGGGACTGTGGAAAGGAATAAGGGACACTAGAGGTGCTAGAGGGCAATTGCCTGAGCTGTGAGGGCAAGCCCTTGTAGAGGAGGCCCTTGGACAGCTGGTGACAGGTGAAAGATAGGTCTGTCATCCCCAACAGGGCACATGTGACTCCATCAACCCAAATAGCTTAGCTGTCATTTGGAGAAAAAAGTAAGTGTGTTTCATGGGGTCTTGTGGGAAAGAAGTGCTCTGTGTGGTAAATAGTTGTTTTTAAGAAAAATAAGCAAGCCCCAACTCATAGCATCTGCCAATGGCTGTGGTTGAAACATTCCCGCCACAAACAATTTTCAAGCTCCAGATGGTTTCATAACTGGCTGGCCAATTCCTGGATATTCATCAGTTTCCATGAGCTGGGGGGAGGCAGCTCCAACCCACCCATGGACGGCGCTCCTCATTGTTGATCTGCTTGAATGATTGCCAGTCAGATTCACGTCAGCAGTCCTGCCCTCTCCTGTTCTGTGAGTGACATTTTAGTTGTTTTAATGGTTACTTATTCAACACTGGCAGAGTATCCATAAAGTTCCGTGAAAGAGTGCAAATCCAAAGCACTTTTCTCAAGCTGCCCGAAATCAGAGGGCAGAAAGCTGTTTGATCAGTCTAAATTCTAGAATCATCACATAATTGAATTCTTGGGACTACATTCTATTTTCTGATGACTCTTCTTCGTGTAAAATATTTTTAAGTGAAAGAAAACAATCACCAGTGATTTTCTAGAATAGTTTTAAAAACCTGAATGCTTCTTAGTAAAATACAAATGCATTTCCAAAGTGGGTGAAAAACAGAAATGTGAATGCTTGTTGGTATCTTGCCCACATGTTCCCCAAATCACACAGCCCATCTGAAACAACTTACTGGATGATTCAAAGGGCAGGAGGGTGTGGACAAGTCTTCACACATATAGTGGCTGTCCCTGTGAACTGTAGTGCAGAGACCTGAGCCCAGGAGAAAGGGCAGCCGGGAGAACTGAGAGGAGCAACAGATGTCTGAGCATCTCCCCGACGGGCTCTGGCCTACACTGTCACCATGATCTGGTCCAGCGCTTTCCGTTTGAGATCAGGCACTGTGGCCTCTTTGCTGGGGTAACCCACAGGGAGCAGCATCAGCAGCTTCTCATGTGGGGGGCGGCCCAGGAGCATCCTCAGAGGAGGGCCACAGTTGAGGGGAGTAGTAGTGACTGTCACCAGCCCTGCATTCTAAAACAGGAGAGGAAAAGGTGCCTTTTAACATCAAAGACAAAATGACGGCTCTGCTTCCCGCTTGGGGACATTCTCATCCCTATTACACCTCTGGGTCCCATTGACTCCCTGAAGTTGGACAGCAGAGGCCGCCCGCTCGGTAGCAGTGTGATGAATCTCATTTCCAGTCTTCCACCTCCCCTCCTGCTGCTTCTAACCAAGCAGTGGGAAGAAGAAAAATGTTGATTTTATTTTCAGTGATGCTCAATAAATATTAATGGTAGAAAGGATTTTGGAGGATCCTGTTATACCAAAGTAATAACAAAAACAACCAGGAGTTCTTTCTAGATAAGAGGTCAGTCTGAATCCTGGTGCATGACCCCCAAAATAACAGCAGTCCCTCAGAGTAATGTGCTAGTCACAATTCTACTATAATTTTTCTACTATATTCTTTCCTGAATTCCAGTTATCTGACTATGGCTTGTTATATCTGTCTGTAATGTTAACATTTGACCTCATGGATGTGTATGGATCTGGAGTGATTTAATATGGTTACCTCTAAAGGGCACTCACACTTCATCATAGTAAACATTGATTCATAAGTTTATGTTACCTGGGGACTGTTCTCAAAACAAACTGTTGATTTCCTCCTTAGTCATGAGCTTGGATTGTCTCTACCTTCTTATGGTATTTCTCTCCCTATCATATCTTAGCATAGTACTTGACTTTTGAATAAATAAATCTTAGACTTTTCATTGAGGATATCACTTGGTATCATTTTATGTTTCAGTTACGTTCCAAGAAACATAAAAGTTACTTTATACTGAAGTTTGTACATCTTTAGCAGTAGAAATTTGTGAATATATAGTACATAGGAAATAATTCGTTGAAATATAAAAATGATTTCTATTGATAAATTTTATCTTCCAGTCTCTCTTGATGTGAGTACTTTGGTCTTATCACAGGTAAAGAGATTTTTTTCTTTTTTTTTTTTTTTAGTTCTTTTGTTTGTTCATTTAACTTGGAATCTCAATCTCCCAAGGAACCAAGGATTGAATTCAACATATCCCTGCCCTTGGAAAAGAAAAATACAACTTTATATTCCCTAACCCTTAACTGAAATTTAGCAATGTCTTCAACTGTAAACATAAACAACAAAGTAGTATTAATATAGCAGTGTTAACAGTATCTATGACTTGTCATCAAAAATTTCACAGATATTTTCAATCTACTTTGCAATTGTTACAGATACCTTAAAACCTTATTATATTCACGACTTTAAAATTGCAGACTGACTGCTAGGTCTTGGTATTTGATGTATTAATAAAGATTTTACACATTTCATTCTCAGCAACATGTACAGGGATTTCCCATGACTACAGAGCCAACAATGAAAGCAGGGGTGCATTCCTAATAAAAATGCCCAGCAACTCAAGAGGCTGAGGCTGGAGGATCACAAGTTCAAAGCCAGTCTCAGATAATTAGTGAGGATCTAGGCAACCTGAAGCCCTGATTAGAAATTTAAAAAGGGCTAGGGATGTAGCTCAGTGGTAAAGCACCCCTGGGTTCAATCCCCAGTACTGAAGAAAAAAGGAAAGAAAGAAAATACTTATATCCAATGATAGAGGACCTGTGGCCAGAAACGATATTGAGAGTAGAGGAAATATCCCAACAGTCTCTCATTAAGCCTCCAGAAAATAAACATCTAAATAAAAACAAAGGGTACCTTCCAGACTCTTCCCCAGTGGTCCCTCTACCTCCCATGCTTTCCAAGCAGATTGCCACCTGTAAACTGTGCCAGGAGGAGGGTCTGCAGCTGCCTCTGTGCAGCAGAAATGGTGAGCTCATTCCTCCCATCTCTGTGCTTGAGATGGAGCTCCAAGATTTTCCCGTCTCTCTCACCCATCATGACCTACCTGCAGAATTACTCCTATGGAAAGCTAGAGGGCAGCAAAACCAATCCTAAAGTGACCACAGCTGCGCTGCCTGCTTCTGGGGCATACAACAGTTGGTGAACTGAGCTCCTTCCTCCAACACCTAAAGCAGTGGGTGGTGCCCTGTGGTCTGATGCTGCACAGAGACTCTCTTATTAATCTGCCTGTAGATTAAGGAAAGAAAGCAAATGCTGGCTCCTTCAGGACAATTGTTCAAGTAACCGAAAAGCATATTTCTTTCTGGTGCAATGTGACTATGTTGTGCTACTCAGCATCTAAACTGTTCTTTGAAATAATGAAGGTCATATTTTTTAAAATAAATTGTTTCTTGAAAGTAAGATCACTCACTCTTCCAACCTTGTGCTTTATTACTTTTATGTGTTTGTCCTCTCTCCCCATCCATATCCGAACCCCTATCCTCCCAAATTGTATGGTGCATGAGACAACTACTCCCATGACCCCCAGGATGCTACCTGGAAGGGGCTTAGAAAATATTCATGGAGGGGAAGAATGGTGTTGTTTGAAAGGCACAGCTCAGTTTGGCTCCATTTCACGTCTGCATTACCTTCGTTGCTATGTGGGTGGGTTTTTGTAAGATCAGGGTCCTCTTCCTAATACAACTTCTCAGGAGAGAAGCTCCAGGGCAGAGCCCTGCTTATGGCTTTTCAGTCATTACAACATGACCTAGGGAGTGAGTCTCTGGACTTTCAGGCTCTGACGTTCTTCACCTACGTCCACCAAAACCCTTAAGTGACCTGCTGTTACAGTCGAAGGCAAACTCAACAACAAATCTTTCTGTCCCTGAGATGATGTTACAAGTGAATTTCCAGGAAGAATTCCAGCTTGCTGAGCCGTCACGCTCACCCACGCAGGTTGCCAGGACTGGTTTTCACAGTGGAGTTGCTTTACTTAGGAATTTAAATTTAGATAAGCAATTTCCAAAGGACACTGTTGGAAACCGAGCTGAAATTTTCTGATAAGGCTCCCCTTGGGCTCCCACTTCTCTCTCATGTCCCTTGGGCCGGAGGGAGAACAACATACCTGCAGCGCAGCCAGCAGGATGCCGCATGCGATGGAGACACTGATCTCATTGTAGTAGTGGACCTTTTTCTTGCCACTTGCAGTAAACCCATGTACTTGTTTGAAAATGAGAATCAAAACAGGGGCGGTGTCCAGGTATTCTTTCACCCAGTTGGTTCTGGAGGGGAGAGAGTCAGGAGAATGTTTACTCTTACTTTCCCCCTCTTTTTACTACCTTACCTTATTCCTGATGAAACACACACACACACACACACACACACACACACACACACGTTTTTTATTTTTAATTTTAAAAGAGTAGAAATTTTTTGTTTTGCTGTTTTGTGGTGTGCACATGTATGTGTGTGCATGTGCTACTCATCCTTATTTTTGTATGTCTCCAAAGTCAATATGTTCAATAAGCAGGCATTAGCAAGTGCCTCGTATATGAAATGCTGAAAGAGAGCAAAGATACATCCTATGTGCCAGAGGGCTCTAAGCCAATATATCCAGCAAATTGAAAGCTGATAAGTGCTGAAAGCAAATGGATTGGGAATCCTTCAAAAATTGAAATATTAATTTTGAGTAGGAAGATTGGGAAAAAGTCCCCAGAATGGCCTCAGGGTGGGCACTGAAGACCAGGTAGAAAAGGGGGATAGGAATGGTATCTCCAGGCAGAGCAAAGAGAATGAATCTGGAAGGAGAATGCATGCAGCCAGGGAATTTCCAGAAGCCTGGTGGGCTGGAGGACGGGTGCGAGCAGGGGTCTGGGTGGAAAGGTAGGTTCTCTACAGACACTGGAGGGTCCTGGCCTTTGGGTGTGTAATGGAGCGTTATCACAGGCTGATAGAGGAAGCATTTCCAATCTGTTTTCAGAGGGAGGTGGATTGAGGGGCAAGAGTGATATAAGTACCAACTATAAAGTCAGAAGGAACTAGAAAAGAAACCTTGGCAATGGCCCAGACAGGAGAGTGGGCAAAAGGGCCAGGCTTAGGAGGACTGGGGGAGGGGTAGGAACTGGAGCTGAGGGAATCCAGTGCAGGAGCATGCAGGGGAGAGGGGACCATGACAGAGAGACTCAACTGAAATGGTGGGGTGAGCAGAGGGAGAGCTGTAGTTCAGTTACAGGAAAAAGGAAGGGACCTTTCTGGGAGCGAGAGGCCCTTCATGTGAAGTAAACATGTGGAGCTGAAATTTCTGTTTTCCAGCTCAGAAACTACCCTTCTTGATTCCATTTCCCTGTCCCATACATTTTGGCAGAAGCTTACTTTTAGAACAGATATTCAAAGGAGAATCCAACACAGTGTAGTTTTTCCTTAAGATATTTTATGTGACTAATTTTTAAGAGATGGTTGCCATACATTTCACTTTTAGCTGTTTTAAAATCACACTAACTTCATTTGTGCATTTTTCTTTCTTTTTTAAAAAAATATTTTTAGTTGTAGATGGACACAATACCTTTATTTATTTATTATTTATTTATATGGTGCTGAGGATTGAACCCAGGACCTCACACATGCTAGGCAAGCTCTCTACCACTAAGCCTCAGTCTCAGCCCTCATTTGTGCATTGGTCTATGGTTCTTGCACTATTAATGACTATGGGTTACACTTTCAAAGCCACTTGATAATACTTCGACAAACAGTCCTGCTGGACTTATTGAGTCTTTTCTCCTTAGAGAGAAGAGGGACTAGCTTGGAGCCAAACTGAAACTCTCACGGCTCAGTTTCCTCCTGGAACCACTGTGCCCCCAACCTCGTGTGATTATATTGAGTGTGAAATAAATAAAAATATAGAAAGTGGCCTTTACTAATACAAACAACAGACTTTTGAATCATGGAAATGTCAGTACAGAAAAACCACTTCCAATCCACTTTCCTGACTCATTTGACTTCTAGCACCCTCAATCCCTCTGTAACACACCCTGATGGAACCAGGATGCTGCTCTCCACAGTGCCCCTCCAGCCCCTCTGTCCTACGAGATTGAATGTGGCCCAGAGACTGTTGTGGGACAGTGAAGTTACAGACGTTCTCAGTCAACAATATGTGCACACACACACACACACAGAACTCTGGGGATCCAGGGAGCCCAGGTTTAAATGCTCTCATACCACTCAACACCCATCTCTGGGCCACATGGGTTCCATGACATAAATGTACATTGTGTGTTGATAGTTTCATGATCTAAAATTCTGATGTTTACATTTTAAAAAGTAATTTTAAACGCATATAAATATAAAAGAAAATGTCAATTCTAAAAATATTAGATTAAGCAGTTTACTTATATTTTGAGGTAGGACAAGCATTTGAAAGTATTTTTGTATTTACTTTGCCTGAGCATGCATTGGAATCTGATCTTTTTTGTTTATTTGTGATTTATTCAGTTTCATACAAATTTATTATGACATAATATTAGAACTAATAAAAAGCAATTCACACTGGGCCAGGTGGCGCATGCCTGGAATCTCAGCATTTTGGGAGGCTGAGACAGAAGGATTGTGAGTTCAAAGCCAGCGTCAGCAATTTATCCAGGTCCTAAGCAACTCAGTGAGACTCTGTCTCTAAATAAAATACAAAATAGGGCAAAATAGGGCTGGTGACTCAAGTGGTCAAGTGTCTCTGAGTTCAATCCACAGTACCCCCTGCCAAAAAAAAAAAAATTCACAAGGACTATTAAAAGGAGGACAATTAGCACCTTCTGCCTGGGGTGGAGGTCTCTTGCCAGCAAGCCAGGGAAGGCAAGATTTGGAATGTAAGTTGAATCCATATTGCACATAAAGAATTAATAATAGCTATGACTTCAGAGTTGACTGAAACAGGACATATGTTTATCGGCTGTTCATTTTAACAAATATTTATTCAGTTACCTACCATGCATCAGAAAGGTGTTGGGTAGTATGAGCATTTTTAAACCTGGGCTCCCTGGATCCCTGGAGTTCTGTGTGTGTGTTTCTATGTGTGTGTGTCTGTGTTTATATGTACATTTTGTTGATTGAGAAAGTCCATAACTTAATTGGATTCTCAAGGGTATCTTAGTGTACAACATGGATTTATAAATATTGGTCCATAAAATGGGAAGAAAAGTAAACCAATAATTAAAATGCTAATGTAGTCACGATCATTTAAGCATATGGAAGGTGTATATGAGGTACATTAGGTACATTACTTGAGGCAAGTGAGAGGGTGTAGTATTTTGTAGGTTCTGTGCTGTCTGGAGTTCAACACCTCTCTAAGTGTGGAAACTCACCTTGATTTTTACTTTTCCCATTTCTTCCCATAAACATACAATAAGATTCATAAATGCATTATTAATGTCTTATACTTATTCCAGTCCACAGTAATAAATTGCAACTTCTTAAGTCATCAATTCTGATAGAGATTAAATATCTTAGAAGAAAAATTGTTCTTTGGGGACAATAAATAAAACAGGAGCAGGACCAAGGGGCCCACCTGTCCTCTCCCTGGCTCTGACTCCTGTGCAAGAAGTCCCACTGGGCCCCAAGGCTGTGATCTCACAATTCTTTCTTAGGCTCATATCACCTGACAGATCTTATACTTGTATTAATTTGTCCTCAACTAAATATTGCTTTATAAAATCATGTGGAAGACTTGATCTTTTTAGTAAAATGCAATTTACTTCATTTAAGATCTTGAAAAGTATTTCATAATCTTATGTTCCAGAGAAATGAAAAAGTGAAATAATTCCTCAACATTTTTTTTTCAGAAGCAATGATGTAAGTCAGAGGCTCTATGGGAACAAGGCCTGAATTAATTTTCATAATTCCTTCCAGAGGCAGAATTGAACTTTTTAATACTAAAAACCAAACCAGGGCAGGATTTGCTCAGTTTGTGTTATATTGTTATATATGTAATAATGTGTCGAAACATCACATTAATACGTAAAATCAATGCATGCTAATCCAAAATACAATAGTTAAAAAACCCCTACAAAACCATGAAAATGCAGCAATTGTTTCATTTTAAGAAGTCAAACCAAACATCCCTAATTGCACCAACTTTGTACCTCAGTTTCTTCAAGTCCGTGACCCATCGTTGTCCCATCCTCTTCATGTAGTTTATTTCCTCTTCCTTTTCGATGATCTCCCGGATCTTATGCTTCGTGTCTGGGTCCTTCACCACCACAAAGGTCCAGGGTTCTGTGTGGGCCCCGCTTGGGGCTGTTCCTATCACAGGATGAATTAGCATCAGAAACCAAGACTGCAGGAAAGGACACGACTGTTAGTGAAGAAGAAGAAGCATAAGTAGTCACCACTGCTCAAGATGAAGGCAGGCAATCTGGGGAACACAGTGCCTGCCACTGCCCACTCCATTTTGCTCTGCTTCATTTTAGGTGTCTCATGACTCACCTGCTGAGATCCAGGCCAGGAGCCCTGGAACTGGGGGACTTATCCTTCTGCTCTGATCACCTGGGAGAAAATAGCCCTCAATGACTGCACCATGACCACTAAGGAGCCTGGAGGGAAGCTCTGACAGCCAAATTCTCCAGAACGTCATTCTTGAAAAGTCAGGAAGGTGGTTGGAAATGGCAAAATGGCAATGATAAAGTGGTTTTCAAGACACCCCTTAAAAGACTACTGCCTCTAACAAAGCTCTGAGGGTGGCCCCATAAGGTTTGTGATCTCGGGGATACACAAGAGTCGGGGAACTCCTGGCCCTGTGTGCTCACTATGCACCACAGCGTGTCTTTCTGCTCTTGTGGGTTTCAGGAACCCTCAGCTGCATGTGGACCAGTTCTGGTGTTCCCGGATGAAACTTCATGGAGCCCCACCTTTGTCCAAGGGGCTTGAGTTTCCTTTGAGGTTCCAGGGAGGGATCGAGGCTCAGCCTCTAATGGGTGTCCCATCATTTCTAGAGGTGTTCTCAGGGGTAGACCACAGTGACCCACAGGGGGACTTTTCCAGAAGCAGTGATTTCTTCCGTCCTAGTGAGTAGTCTAATGGAATAAGCTCTGCCTCTAGACTCTTTCTGGGATTCTTGGTTGCCACATACCACTCCCAACGCTGGAAGTCATGACTGGTTGTAAAATAAACGTCAAAAACTGAAGAGGAAGGCTGCATTTCTGCCGAGTAATTCCAGTTAACTTTGTACCCATTTTATTCATTCACTGAATATTTGTATCTCCAAACATAGTAATTAATTAATTTTCTCTATTTTCAATTATGCTAATTTATCTTAACATCAAATATGTCACATATACATACAGATATATAGATAAAAAGGAAAGTTAGTAACTGCTGCCAGTAAAGGACTCAAAAGTCTAGTGCACTTGTATCCTTAACTGAAATGAAGTGTTTTATTCTTGCTTCCTTGTAAGAGGGACAATGGGTTCAAAATGGGCAGGCAATAAATTCTAAAATGAACCTAAATGCAATTTAGATAGGAATAACAGGAGAAACTCAGATAGTATATTTTCTCTTATAACTCTTTTCCTTTTTTCTATAGCTTACTTTTTTCCCCTTTGGGATGATATTAATTTACTTTGGAAATAAGGTTTTCTTGCTTTGGTTTACTGTGTAAATTCACATGGGTAACTTTTGCTAGCTTGTTAGACTACTGTACATACTAGTTCATTAGAATATTGCACATGCACAGATTTTATAGATTATAGATTTTATAAATATATCACCCTAGCCTTAATTCACTATTCCACTGTTGTCACACCAGTACAGAGCTGAGGTTGTTGAGGATCCAGCGTGCAATTAATTACAAACCTGCTGCTTTGATGACATTATTAATGACTTCCATTGGGACTTGCTCATTACTTATGAACCTGACCGACCGTCTCTTATTGAGAAGCTCATAAAATTCCTGTGACCTCTTAGCCATTTCTTTCTCAGGATACCGGGTATGGGAGAATGGGATGTGTTCAACATCTTCCTCTGATTCTGGCCATTCATCTTCATCTGCAAATAAGAACAATAAGAGTAGCAAATTTAATGGTCTCTCTTGGTCCACAGGAGGAAGGAGATATAGTTCTCAAAAATGTTTACAAAGTTATGTAAGCACAAGAATATCAAGGAGAAGGAAGGGAAAGAGAAAAGAAAGGAAGGAAGGAAGGAAGGAAGGAAGGAAGGAAGGAAGAAGAAGAAGAAGAAGAAGAGAGAGAGAGAGAATCTACAAAACCCTGACGACCGATCTTGACTATTCTTCCAACTCTAGACTTATTGAAAATCAAGAAAAAGAAATTTTTTTACCCACACAAAGTATAAGGATTTCAAATTTGAAATTTGAGATAATTTGAAATAATCTTCCATCCACCGGAAAATGCTTAGATCACTGAATCAGGTGTTTTTAAAAGACCTTTTAATATCACCAGGTTGATGTCATAGTAAGAAATCCCCAGGCCAAAACCAAAGGAAAAATACAAACCTACAGTCAATAAGCACAAAAACTGTGCTTCCACAATTGCATTTGCTATCACTACACACTGGAATTTCCATTTTTACATTTTTCAGAGTTTGAGGGCAACCAAAATCAAATTCCAGGCCTATATAGAGTGGGGACTTTAAATGCTGGGTCACCAAGACTACAGGAAGGTGAGAGTTATTTTTAAATATCAGCCCTCAGGGGCTTATATCACTTTGAAGGGTCCTCCCTCACACATGAATTTAGAATAAGGTGATCCTGGATGACAGTATACCAATTACCTAGCAGAAGCAAAAGCAATGTATAAATATTTCCTGTACAGTTACTAGCAATCCACCAAATATAATCAGGCACATAAAGAACCAAAACATCTTGAGCAAGAAACAGAAGAAGCAATTTTAAAAATAAAGTAAGATGCCTAAAGACTCCAAATATTGGAATCAGTAGGTTCAGAGGATAAAACAACTAACGGTTAGTATGTTTAGAGGGAACAACAACCAAACATACAAATCTCAAAAAGGTAACAGAGAAAATGTTGAGAGCCACAGCCAAAGGGGCCCCAGCAAACTTCCAGCTGTCAGCAAACTTCCAGCTGCCTGCTGATGATGGGCTCACAGCGGCCCCAGCAACATCTAGCTGATTGGCTCCTCTGAGGTGATGCTCATTGGGCTGTTTCCCTGCCCTTCAGACTGCCAGCTGATGATTGGCTCACAGCGACCCCAGCAACATCTAGCTGATTGGCTCCTCCACGGAGCTGCTCATTGGGGGACTTCTTTGGCTCCACCCACACGACCCAGCCAATCAGCCTCAAGAGCAGGAGGATTATGGGAGGTGGTGAGGCTTGTGGGGGAGAGAGGCTTGTGGAAGCCGGTGGTGGCAGTTGGGCTCTGAGGGTTTTTCCCTGAGGAGCTGTTTTGTTTGGCATTTGTAGTTCTAAAAATAAAGTTAGTTTCTTTTGACAAGTGGCTCCTGAATTGTGCCCAGCTAGACTGCGGCAAGAAAATATGAAAGAATATAACCTCTAGATCAGAAAAAAATAATAGATTGATGAACTTAATGGATAGATCTACTACTAGGTTAAGCTACCTAAGAAGAAGTAATGAAGGGGACATAGACAAGAAAATATCTAGAATGGGGCAAGTAGAGACCAAGATGGTAAACATAGAAGAACTCAATAGAAATAGAGCAGAATGAGGGTAACTAATACACATTTTTCATAGTCACAAAAGAAGATAAAAGAGACTATGGCAGAGGCAATATTTGAAAGGTTAGTGTCTATGATTTCCCCAGGACTCATGAAATAGATCACATCTATAGATTTTCAAGTTTCAGTAAATTCTAGACAGTATAAAAAAGAAACATATCTTTTATAATCAAATATGACATTTTTTCACAATAGTGACTACTAAAGAGACCTGTGGAAGGGTGAGGGACTTGCCCACATGCTGACCCTCTGTGAGTGGATGGGAAATGGAGATTTCCACAAGTAAATTGGTGACTTTCTATTTTTTGCGAGGACAAAATTGCTCAATTTGGCAAAAGCTAAGTTTGCCCACAGACTTGATGAGGTTACTTTTGCTTTTATGATAAAACTTGTAAAACTGCTGACTAATCTAAAAAACATGGGACAAAAAGCACTTGTCATGTAAACCTTCCAACCCCTCCTCCTGCTGGGTATAAAGTTCAAAGAATTTCCAGGTTTGAGGTCCAGAGAAATTTTAGGCAATCACCCTTCTAGACCCTACAGCCAATAAACATGCTTCCTGAAAATTCCTTGGGTATCCAGTCTTTTCTGTCCTATATCACAAGAACCCAGGGAAGAGAGCCAGAGAATCCAAGGCCTGGCCCAGAGGGACCCAGCCATTCTCCAGGTGGAATTCAGCAGGGATTAGCCTTCTCCTGCTCTCACGCTGCCTTTTCCAGAGACTGGGAATCCCTGACTACAGTGTTAGCTGTGGGTACCACAGTTTGCTCCTGGCTTCAGTGAGGAATTTTCTTTTTACATTAGCAGGAGTGGCTTGGGGCCAGACTGTACCCACTTAGTTAAAAGAAAGTAGATGTGATGGGAGAGTAATAATGAATACCTATCAGCTTTCTAGCAATCCGTTCTGAACTACATGCAGATAACATCAATTTCATGACAACCCTGAACTTTATCACAGATGTGATCAAGACTTGCTCCATTATATGCAATTAATTCTGACGACCTTTGCAGCTAGTCTTTGGTACAGGAGCAGATGCATCAGGTGCTCCCTGAGTGTCTGAATGGTAAGTTACCAACTCTTAAGACGCATTCAGTATTTGCCTAAGCTACAGGAAGCCTGTTTACATGACTTGGCAGTTTCTGTGGCTTTTAGAGTTCAAGTAGGCTCTCCTGATCTGGTCCAATGGAGTGGGTGGTTGTGGTTGCCTGAGCCTTCTTAGTGCCAGCTGTTGTCTCTCACCAGGGCAAACAAATGGGCCTATAACCTCCAGATAGGAATGTCCTGTGCCCATCCCAAGAACCCCACATGGTGGGCTGCCCTTCTACAGCCTCTCACAGGGCAGAAGGTCTCTATCCTGCCTGGACAATGGAGCAGCCAAGAGAGCCACTGACATGGAGGCCAGCCTGGAGCCCAGGGAGCTCCCCAGAGACACAGCACTGGAGAAACTAGAGGAACTGTAGGGCAGAGAGCAAAGGAGAAAGGCACCACCTCCCCACCCTTGAGCCCCTGACTACCCCTAGGAATGTGGCCTTGAAGAGAAAAGGAAACTGCCTCTTAAACTCCTGTTTTCTTGCCTCTGCCCTAGAGCCATCAGAGCCACAGGCCACTCATTTACCTCTGAGGCCCTCCTGCTCCAAGGCCCTCCTGCTCCAAGGCAAACAGTCTGCTTTTCAGTGGGAGTCCTTCGAGGCCACACCTGGGGTTGGTTGCTGGTGCCTGTAGCAACTCACCTGCATCACTGTTTTGTACCAAGGAACCCCTAAACTGTTCCCTAATTAGTTTCAGCCAGTCAAGAAAGTCTAGGTCACTTCTGTCCTCGTTCACAGGGAGGTACTTTCCTGGCTGCACCTCTAAATAAATTGCTTTGGTTTTTGCAGTTCTGCCTCAAAATCTTTGCAAAGGAGCGAACTATTTTCTAATAATGAAAGCAAGGACAAAGTGTGTCACATGTGGAGGAGCCTTGATACTGAGGGAGGGATGATGCAGCTCCTGTCACCAACAACAACCCAAGGTGTTGGTGGGGGAGACACCTCAGGGCTCAGCACCTGCCAGAAGAATGCCTTTTTCCCAGCTGCCCAGCATGGCTCAGCTGCCAACTCGGCCTCTTGGTCACCTGGCCGCGTAGCTGCACTATTGGCTGATTATTTCACCAGCAGCACGGAGGTGGGTGGAACTGGGGATCCTGGGGTACCCAGATGCTATCCAGAAGCTGGTGGGGTTTAGGACACTCTACCCCAAAACATGTCACCTTGGCAGGGATAGGAAGAGCTCTTGGACCTCCTCCTGTCCTTCTTCCCCGAAACAGATCATAAAACCTGAGAAAGATTTTTTGACTCTTTCCTGAAGCAGGTCATTAGACCCTCGTGGGAGGACTGCTCCCCCTTTAGGGGAAAAACCATCCTAATCTCTATAGAGGAGGGGTCTCAGAGAAGGATCTCAGCAGACAGGCCTCCCTGTTCCCTGTTTATCACCATTAGACACAACCCCATTGAACAGGAGTGTCCCCACTCCTGTTCAATCTTCATCAAACCTAGCAGAAACATCTACAAGTTTGGGTTCTGGGGATGTGGCTCAGTGGTAGAGCACTTTTCTAGCATGTGGTGGGCCCTGGGTTCAATTCCTAGCACTGAAAAACACAAGGCAAACCCCACTAGTGTAACCATTTCTTGGGGTCTTTGTCTTATGAAAGCTCTCCTGCCGTGTAAAACTCCTATAATGAAGCACACGTGCATTTCTGTTGTTCATCTGTCCTCTGTTAGAAGGGCCTCAGCCAAGGAGGAGTAGAGAAAAGATATTCATCTTCCCTCCAAGCAAGGAAATGAAGCTGGCAGAACTTGTTTCTGAGACCATCCTCTCTTTGTGGTGCCCCAGGGCCCTGTGCGGATCTTAACTCTCCGCAAACAGGGCCCACCTGAAGGATCTCAAGGACAGTGTCTTCATCCAAGTCTTTTCCCTTTCATTAGAGAAATGTCATCTATATTCACCTGTCCTTTGTCCTAAAACCTTAGGGACTTTCAGGAGACTTGGTCCACCAACCTTTTACATCAGCCATTTCAAAACTATGGAAGGGGGAGTGGTAAGTCAAAGGTTGAAGTGACCAAAGACAAAGCTGTATGCATTGTTTCACGATCTATGCTGGTCAAGCTCGTCCCTGAGCAGAGTGGAACCTCACCTTGTATGGAATTTTTGGCAGTGGTGTGCTGGTAAGTCAGCCCTTAGGGTGGCAAAGAAAGATTTATAGCCCATGCCAAAATCCATGATGTAAATCACAGCCTGACTTCAAGCTACTGATGATTTAACCATTAGCCCACAATGCTGAATATTCAACAACCCAAAGGCTAGCTCTAGCTCACTATTTGGTGTGGAAGCATACTGTTCAGGGTTTGGAGGGCTCTCGAGGGTGTAAGTGACTGACATTCTCTGTAGACACAGTGTCTGAGACCCTTACAGATGTGGGGACCTGAATCCATCCCTGGTTGGCTGACATTCAGCCGTGAGAGGCGGACATTGGTTAGCTTGTTACACTGTTACTGAAGTTAGTTGTTGATAATCCTTTGAGCAGGTTTGAAACCAGTTGTGATGGCTAGCTGTGATCATTACAGTATGTCACTTTCCAAGTTGGTACAGACATCTAGATTCTCAGGTATTACCAACAGTAGGTAAAAATTTCAACACAGGCCTTTCTTAGCAAATTGGACAATTTGGGACAGTGAATTTTAATTAGAATCAAAGCTTTTGGATGGCCTGTGAAGCTCAGTGCAAAAACATCCCCCATGACATTAAAATGAATGTGTCTTGATGAGGTATGTTCCTAATATCTTTCTTCTTTTATTCATTTCTATGAACTTCCATGAATCTGGGCCTAACGAGAGAATTTGTGTGTTAGATTTTCAGTTAATTTTACAGGGATGATCTGAGGTTTTCTCTTGGGCATAAACAACAGCAACTTCTCCTTCTTAGACCTCCGCTCCAGACAAACAGGGAACTGACAGTCTCAATAGGAACCACACTTGACCTGTCACCAAAGGAGATATAGCTTATCAGCTTGGCCACACCAGACTCTCCTTCTGTGCTCTCCACATCCCTTTCACGAGCTGATTCCTGGTCTCTAAGGAACAGGAGTACTTTGGTTTGAATTTGCTGTCCATAGTCAATCTCATCATTTCTTCAGTAGTGGAATCATTTTTCTTCACCAACTCTCCCCCTGCCCAATGCCTTCTCAACCTGGTGTTAGACCATGTCACTCATCCTGTGGCTAAGAGCAGGAACTTGGGTGGCAGAGAGCCTAGGTTTAAATGCTCATTCTCACTGGTCACCCACGTGACCTTCTCGTGTATCATTTATGTAAACAGCAAACATTTCACCAAGAGATCTGTGAATGCTACATTCAGGCCAGATGTGCACTAACTGATGATGAGACTGTTATCTTGTCTATCAGAAGACTGTTAGCACTAAGACTGCTATCTCCATTCTGTAAAAAGATAGGAGAAGGATAGGGATGGAAGGGAATGGAGAATGGAGAGGCAGAGGATTTTGCCAAAATGAGCACTAGGTGAAAACCAGAGGAAGGCCATACATCTTTGCTGGTCCATCCTCCATCCTTCAAATCCAGTGGCCTTCCCTCCATGCTTACCACCTCTGATCTCTCAGAGAATTTTAACCCTGCTGGCCACCTGCTGCCTCCTGTGTTCTAGATAATTCCATGGGAGAGGCTGCTCAGCAAACACTTGGATGCCTGGATCCCGGAGCCTGACTGCCTGGATCCTGCCTCTACCACCGTCTTGGGTAGTGACTTACCTATCTGAGCGTTAGTTTCCTTTCCTGTAATAGGGGGATATTAGTAATGCCTACCTCATTGTACTGTCATGAAGATTCCTTACTCTATGTAAAGCATGTCACTGACAGGCTACAGAAAATGCTTCACGAGGCTTGTCCTGGAGTTGCCTACTCATCTTCTTTGCCATAGAATATTTTCCCACCATATCCCTCTTATCTGAAGGTTCTGTCCCCACCCTTCTCTCTCAATGTGCCCATTTCATGGGTTCATTAGTTCTGCAAATTCCAAATTCCACCCACTACTGACACCTCTCCCATGAAGGTTTGTGACTGGGATCCCTCACCTGAGGTCACGATGAGCTCAAAAGAACACTCCCTAACAAAAGTCACTGTCTTTCTCTCTAAACTGGATCCCCTTCCCCTTGCTCCTTTATGATTGTATCATTCTGACTCTTCCAGCCTCCAAATCATCATCTCCATCTTCTCCCAATATCCCAGTTTATTACCAAAGCCTGTTGTTCTTCCTTTAACTTCACTTCCACTTACCTCTCCTTGTGTTTCCCCCACCACCACCACCGAACCCCTCCTTGCCAAGATAAAATCATTCCACAGCTTCAGAATACATGTCTCCTATGGGAAGCGTTCCCCACCTGGACACCAATGGGGATCAACTTACGATGTTTCAACTTAACAACGTTTTTACTTCATGATGATGCAAAAGCATATACATTATTTCTCACTTTCAGTACAGTATTCTATACACTACATGAGATCTTCAACATTTAATATAAAATGGGCTCTGGGTTAGATGATTTGCACCATGAAAGGCTGAAGAAAGTGTTCTGGGCATGTTTAAGGTAGGCTGGCTAACCTAAGATTTTTGGTGTTTTAGGTTATTAAATGCATTTTGCACTTATGATATTTTCAACTTACCATGAATTAATCAGGATGTAATGCCATCGTAGGTAGAGGACCTGTGCAGTTGGTATTCTGGGTGGGGTGTCCTTCAACATATGAGCATAAGAGGCGGTCTCCCTAAGAGGTACCTGGGCTTGGCTCCTGGGTGGCACGTTCAGCATTGCTACTGGCTCCCAGCATTGAGGGCCAGCAGGACACCCTACTACTCAACACACACACACACACACACACACTCACAATTCTATTTCCATTTCTAGGCAGCCTCTGTTTGGAGGTGGGAGTCTCACCCAGAATCACACAGCCTCTTCCTGATGGAACCCATCCTATGCACCCAGCTCAGACAAAGCAGCTCTAAAATACCACTGGGGACTCCTGCCATCTCTCTTGCCTGCCTCCTTCATTGTCTCTCTTTCCAGCCATGACCTGCCCCTCCCCTGGTCAGCAGGCCCTCCCAGCTGCTAGGAATCTGCCCGGGGCCTCTGTTCCTGGGCTCAGGGACCCTTGGCTGCTCCTCCCTGATACACCCCCTCCCCTTGCTGATCATCCTCCAGGCCAGCTTTATTCTGTCCCAGTCTCCCATCATGCCCCCAAGCCTGCCTTAAACACCTTGTAACACTTCTACCCAGTTTCAATCACCTTGTTACCTAAATTGGACCCTTGGTTTGTTGAGAACAGAGGTTACTATTGGCTCTAACCCACAGGGTCAGGCTCAATAAAAAAAAAAAAAAATAGAAATCCCAGAGAGATGCCACTTTGTCAATTTTAAAGTTTTGATCAAAACCCCATGCTCAGAGCCAAACTGTGATGAGAACCTTCAGAAAGACCTTGACAGCCAGAACAGGATCAAGACCAGGGAAAACTTCCAACCCTCAGAAGCTTTTGACTGAGTAGGAATGAAGAAGGTGGGTCGCCGCAGGTGACAAGCTGATTGCCTGAGAGATGGCTTGTCTCTGTGACATGCTGATTTGTTTGCACGTTAGAGGTCAATGGAGAATCTGGCTTTCACATCTTCCTGGCCATAAGCCCTGCCACCAACTCTCACAAAGCTGACCATGTGCACAAAGGCTAAGCCAAAGGCTGCTGCAGTCTTTACCTTCTTGCACCTGGTGGAGATGATCAGTGCTGTCTTTTAAGTCTTCATCCACCCAGGGCCGGGCTTCAGGCTCCCTCTCCTTCTTCTGGAGGCTTCTGTCAGCAGGTTTAAAGATCCACACAATCAAAACGCAGACAACTGCCACCAAGACTGCAGTCAGAGAAAGCATGGTTGGTAGCCGGAGCCTGAGGGTGAGCGCAGGTCCCACAGAGTACTTAAACAGCCAGGAGCAGAGGTGGGGAATGCTGGGAGTGGGGAGAAGGAGAGGGAGGAGCTGGGGGAAAGAACAAAGTGCAGAACTCTCAAACTCTACAGGACTTTGCAAAAGAGCAAAGATCACAGTCACACATGTGGGGTGGGTCTGGATTTGGTCCTACACCAGCACATTCACTTTTTAATAATCAATATATTCTTAAACATGATTTACAGGAACTGCATAAACACAGTAATGCTCTAGATCTGGCCAGTGGTGGTAAAGACATTTAATCTTTCTGCTGTGTAAGTTTTCTCCACGAGCGTCCTTAGTTTGCCCAAAGCTAGGAAACTCCTAGCAAACTTGTTTTTCAAAGAGTACATTTCCAGGTGGCTATTCAGAACTGCCGAAAGAAAATTTCCAGTAAAGAAGCCTAGTTTAAAAAAAAAAGAAAGAAAGAAAGGAAAAAAAAAGAAGAAGAAGCCTAGTCTCTGCATTTTAAGGGGCATAGTCAAGGCACTGACCTGAGGTGACTTGTTAAATGATGCTCATGCCAACATATGAAGTCAAGAAGAAGAAAGTATCATTTTTGCATCATAGAAAAATTTTGATTTGGGGCACTGGGATTGTGGCTCAGCAGCAGAGTGCTTGCCTAGCATGTGCAAGGTGCTGGGTTCTATCCCTAGCACCACATAAAAATAGATAAAAATAAAGGTATGATGTCCAACTACAACTGAAAAAATAAATAAAAAGAAAAAAAATAAAAACTTTGATTTGGAAAAATCAACACAAAAAATTTGAATGGTTTATTACATAATAACTTTAAGTAGGTGTGTATGTGTGTGTGTGTGTGTGTGTGTGTGTGTGTGTGTGTGTGTGTGAGTGTTTTGTTTCAACAAAGTCTTAATTGGGACTGCTATAATAACAATACCATAGACTGGGTGCCTTAAATGTGCTTCTCACATTTTCTGGAGGTTGGGAAATCTAAAATCAAGGTGTCAGCAATTCAGTTCTCCTGGCTCATCAGTGACAGCCTTCTCCCTACGTCCTCACATGGCAGACCAGCTGACTTGAGAAACAGCTTTTGACCTGGGGTTGAAAGATGCCATATTGCTAATTTGGAAGGCCCAACGTGCCTGTATCCTGGGTAGTTCTAAAGCATCGGGCTATTTGTTTTCCCAGCTCGTTTTCCTGGGAAAGGGAAGGAGCACTGAGGAAGGGAAGATGGCATGAGACATTGGACACCCGGTATTATGGTTAGTTGTCATTACTCACTTGAGACTTACTGTCCATTTTAATCATTAGGGGACCAGCCATCAGCCTGCAGACCACATTGCAAACTGCACTGTCCCAAAAGACACATTTCTCCAAACACACATACATAATTTTTAACTTTCAGTGCTGATGTTAAATCTAATGATCTCTGTGATTGTTTCCTTCCTGCTTCCCAACATCCCAAATGTATGTTTGCAGGAGAAGTAAAACAAATTTGATAGAGGACTTTCTAGGATAGACAGTGGGGCCCTGAGTGAGCGAATGCAGCTCTAAGGTTCACAGGAGCAAGCTGTTATCATGCATTTCTAACAAGTGCTAAATGCTGTCAAGTGTTCAAGTGGAAGATGCAAAATAGGCCTGTGTTTCACCCCAGGGTTCTACCGTGGTTCAGGTGTGAAGTTGGAAAAAAACAAGGAATTCTCAAGTGTTTCTAAATCTCATCAGCTTCACCTGCACATAGCCAACACATACACACAACCAAAACATCAATCCCACCAAAGGGTATTTATTATCTGCCTGACTGCCTGGCCCGCTGCATGATGCTAACACTTGTCACGAGTCACTGTGTGCCTGCACTGGGCTCGCTCTTTCTCTGCATTATCCTATTGAATCCACAGGATGAAGCACTTTAGAGGAAACTCCACTGTCCTGAAGAGAAGGGGAAATGAAGTGCTACACACCAACGCTTAGAGAAGAGAGGGACTCAAAGTGTGGTCCTGGACAGTGACGTCAGCATTGTCCTCAGCTTGCTAAATAAACCAATTCTGAAGTCCCCTCCCCCCATAGAGTCAGACACCCTGGGGGGCAGTGATCAGCAGTCTGCTCCAGGGGTCTTCCAGGTGATTTTAGTGCCAGTTAAAGCTGGAGAACCACCAGGCTAGAGGAAAGACTCTTTCCTCACATCCCCTACTTTACCCCAAATATTGATTCTCCAAATCTAAGCCCCTGCCCTATCCAGAGGAATAAAGTATTCCAAATACCAAGTGCATATTGAAACATTTTCGTAAGTGATGTCTCAATTATACAAAGTATTTTATAGATAATAAGCTCCCAGTAAATATAAATTGAAACTTTTAAGAATGGCAATGATATTTTAAAAATTATATTAAGATTAATTTTAATATAATTACTATTGACTCATAATAGTAATTATATGGGGGACAACAAGCTTGTGATTAGGAAAGGGGTCCAAGAATGCTTGCAGCAGTGCAGATGAGAGCTAACAGGGGTCTTCTTGGGAAGAAAGTTGTGCAGAGGGTAGACGGATTGTTTGCATACACTTTGGTAGCAGTGGAACTGATTGAGTCCAGACATAGCTATATCCCTCCTTCTCCAAGCAAACCACATATTCCAATATGTACTTGGTCTCACTCCTTACTATCCCTGGGGAAAGAGTTTGGGATTTCACAGGCTTGCTGTATTACATAAGCCAGTGAACCTCTAAGTGGAGTCATTTATGGGTTCTGCAAGGGGCAGGCTCTCCACTAAAGAGCTCTCATGAAAAACCTTGGCAGAACATGTGGGGCTGAGAAAGTTGAAGATTGTGCAAGAGCGCAATTCAGCAAGCAAGACTGTATCTGCTCCTAAGGAGACATTAAATCTGAGATTGGAGGATTTCCCGAATTATTTCCCACCCAAGCAGTATCCAAATAGTGCTGCTCCATGCATAGGCTGTGAGCCACAGGGAAAATGATGATGATTCTCCAAACTTTTATTATACTATCTTTTGAAATCAATGCCCTTTTAATGGAAGAGCTCAGCTACAAATGAATTGACATGCATTGTAGACTGGAGGACAGAAATTCTGGTGGTATTAGTCACACATTTTCCAAAATAGAAAAAATGGCATCTTCCAAAGTAATAATATTTCCTTTTCTTTGGGTGGGGGATGCTGGGAGCTGAACCTAGGGCGTTGTGAATGCAAGGCAAACACTTTATCAACTGAGCTATATTCCCAGCCCCAAAGCAATAATATTTAACATTAATCAATACTGTATTTGCTCTCTTTAGAGATTTATTATTGCTTCTTTGCAAGTAAAATATACCAATTACTGTCAGAACTGGCGATTATCTCTCAATATCATTTCTCCTTTAATAATAAATTATGAAGATTTAAATTTTTTATTCATTCTGATTTGTTATATATGACAGCAGAATGCAACCCAATTCATATTACACTTATAGAGCATAATTTTTCTTGTCTCTGGATGTACACAGTAGAATCACACATTGTGTCTTCACACATGTCCTTAGGGTAACGATGTCCATCTCATTCCACCATCTTTTTTACACCCTTTGCCCACTCCCTTCCCTTTCTCCTATCTAGAGTTCATGTATTCCTCCCATGCTCCCTCCCTATCCCCATTAGGAATCAGCATCCTTATATCAGAGAAAACATTCAGCATTTTTTTTTTTTTTTTGCGGAGGGGGGTTGGCTTACTTAGCATTATATTCTCCAACTCCATCCATTTACCTGCCAATGCCATGATTTTATTCTCTTTTAATGCTGAATAATGTTCCATGGTGTATGTATACCACAGTTTCTTTATCCATTCATCTACTGAAGGGCATCTGGATTGGTTCCACAATTTAACTTTGTGAGTTGTGCTGCTATAAACATTGATGTGGCTGTGACCCTGTAGTATTCTGTTTTTAAATCCTTTGGGTATAACTGAGGAGTGGGATGCTTGGACCACATGGTGGTTCCATTCCAAGTTTTCCAAGGATTCTCCATACTGCTTTCCATATCGACTGCACCAATTTGTAGTCCCATCAGCAATGTATAAGTGTGCCTTTTTCCCTTCGCCCTTGTCAACACTTATTGCTGTTTGTATTCTTAGTAACTGCCATTTTGATTGGAGTGAGATGAAATCTTAGAGTAGTTTTGATTTCCATTTCTCTAATTGCTAGAGACGTTGAACATTTTTTTCATATATTTGTTAATTGATTGTATATTACCTTCTTAGAAGTGTCTGTTGAGTTCCTTGGCCCATTTATTGACTGGGTTATTTGTTGTTGTTTTTTTTTTTGGTGTTAAGAGTTTTGAATTCTTTGTATACCCTAGAGATTGGTGCTGTATCTGATGTGTGAGGGGTAAAAATTTGCTCCCAAAATGTAGGTTCTCTATTTGCCTCACAGATTATTTCTTTTGCTGAGAAGTTTTTTAGTTTGAATCCATTCCATTTATTGATTCTTGATTTTAATTCTTGTGCTATAGGAGTCTTATTGAGGAAGTTGGGGACTAATCCCACATGATGGAGATTGGGGCCTACTTTTTTTTTCTATTAGGCTCAGAGTCTCTGATTTAATTCCTAGGTCCTTGATCCACTTTAAGTTAAGTTTTGTGCATGGTGAGAGATAGGGGCTTAATTTCTTTTGGTTGCAAATGGATTTCCAGTTTTTCCAGCACCATTTGTTGACAAGGCTATTTTTTCTTCAATATATGTTTTTTGTGTCTTTGTCTAATATGAGATAACTGTATTTATGTGGGTTTGTCTCTGGGTCTTCCATTCTGTACCATTAGTCTACAAGTCTATTTTGGTGCCAATAGAATGCCATTTTTGTTACTTTGCTCTGTAGTATAGTTTAAGGTCTAGTATACTGATGCCTCCTGCTTCACTCTTCTTGCTAAGGATTACTTTAGCTATTGTGGGTCTCTTATTTTTCCAGATGAATTTCATGACTGCCTTTTCTATTTCTATAAGGAAAGTCATTGGGATTTTGATTGGAATTGCACTAAACCTGTA